TTAAGAGTTAGCATTTATGGAAATGCTAATTCGAATCCAATGTTATTAAAAAAAAACGGGTCGAATTGTTTCAAAAACTCAATGAACGGCAGTAGGTAAATCATCGGGTAATCGTGGCAAGGGGAGTCACAAAGAATGGTCGAGTAAAGACTAGAGAGAACAAGGGAAAGGTAGGGAACTAGAGAGAGTTCTGACGGGGTCGGAGTATTCCGCGAAGGATCAAGTGGTTCCCAAAAGCCGTGATGATCAACGTGGAATCAATGGTAATTCATCGAGGATTCGTCGAGATGTAACGAAGGCTAGGAAGCCGAGAAAGGGGTGAATGAAGAGGGATGGCCGAGACATCATCACATATTGATGATGGGTGTCGACGTTGGGCAAGTTTTCGAAGGATTCTCGAGGAGTGTCAAGAGATCAGTGAGGACTTGCAAGTATTCTGCGGGGAAACCCGAAACTGTGGAACGTGGTGCATGGAATTGTGATCCATTCCACCTCTCTCGTTACTTGGTCATGTGGGGATGGTTGGCTGAGTGACTAAGGGACGAGGTGAGGTGGTGAAGTGGATAGTGCTCGGGAAACAGAGGACAAGTGTTCGGGAAAGTGAGGGCAAGTGTTCGGGAAGGAGGAGCCGGTTGCGAGTACAAGTCAATGAGCAATCCGATATCGGCAAAGGACAAGGTACATGTTTACCCATTCTGTTGCTTATGATAGCTTAAGTGTTCTTAAGCGTAAAATGTTAAGTGGTTGCCTTGATGTAACGTTGTTACAGTTGGACTCGTTTGTGATAAACCTCTTCGAAGAGTTTAAAAAATTGATAGATGTTTGGTCATAGCGTTGGAATTTTGGGTTAATCCGTAAATTACCATGTTTGGCCGAGACAAACTGATCCGGAACCTCACCGCGGTAAAGGAATTTTACTAAATTCAAAACATTATACCCAAAACTTTAAACTCTAGCCCACGAGAATAAGTCTTAAACCTACTAAATAAACTTAAAACGTGAAATAATGTATTAATTTAGAGTTAGCTATGTTCTCTATATAGAATAGAATAGAATATAAGTAAATCTATACAAAACGTGTGCGAATCTAACTGTTATATGGACGAGTGTTCACGAACATAATTGTTTTTTCGAGTTATTGTTGTCCGTCTAAAAATAACTAAATCGCACCATGTTAAAAAATATATATTTACATAGAACTTTCAACTAAGATTGCAAACTTTT